CTCTCTATCCAGGATGTGCACATCTTCATCCCTGAAAGAGTGACCGCTGGCCTGGAGATGAGTGTAGACCGCAGAATCCTGGCCTGATGATGTTGATCTTCTGTGCTGGGCCATCCTTTTGGCCAGTGGCTGTTTTGTTTCCCCGATGTAAGACTGATCACAGCCCTCCTGACACTGAACAGCATACACAACATTACTCTGTTTGTGCCGGGGGACTGGATCTTTGGGATGAATCAAGTGTACAATGTTTTGATGTTAAATTTTGATTCTGTTCAATAAATGACCACATTTATTCTGATGGGTCAAAGGAAATTAATGTCTCATGTCACTGATTAAACTATCCACGCACAGTTACCTCGGTCACATGGCAGTAATTTAATTTGAAAAAGAGAGAACCCGTTTATTTAAATATATTGTAGTGGAGGTGCAGCAAACCTAGCCCTTAGCACACTACAGGTGTAAGGGTTAAAGGAATACCCAGAGAATGTGGACTGAATTGAACAGACTTCAAGATCAGGGTAAAATTAACAGTGTTTATTTACAGTAATATTTTAAGCAATGTGCACAGAGAGGGGCTGGAAGCCTGCAAGGAAAAGAGTCAGTATGCGTAACTTGAGGTAAGGTGAGTAATGGTGCTTTCTTTCTTACAGGAGGAGTTGTGGGTTGTCAAAGGAGTTGGGGATCCAATGGTTCCAGCAAGCAAAGATGTCTGAGGGGAGCTCCAGGTTGAGGTAGACAAGTGGCTGGAAGGTGACAGCTGAGGAATTCACAAGGGAGCTCAAGGTCATACAGCGGGAATCCAGGAACAGGGAGGCAGCAGAAGTTAATGCTGAAACGTGTAAGAACACAAGGTAAGTTTATCTATCACAGGATAATGCAACGTGGACAGAAACACAACTACCATTAGGCATGTAATGCTCCAGCGGTGACTGGTGTTCTTCTGCAGCCTTTTGTACTGTACAGCTCGCCACAGGTGTGGCGTGTTGGCACCATCTTGTGACTGCAGGAAGCTGAGAGAACTGAAGTCCCACAGCCAGAAGGTCTACGAGGAGTCCATTATCTTGATACTTTTAAAAGTAGACTAAAAACTCATCTGTTCAGTCTGGCTTTTACACAGGATAGCTTATAAAATTGTATTTTATTTTTCATTTTTAATTGTTTGTTTATTTATTTATTTCTGCCATAAAGCACTTTGAATTGCATTTGTTTGACAAGTGCTATATAAATAAAACTTTGACTGATTTCCATTCCACAAAAACTCTTTCTGTGTAGTCTCACCGGTTGTACTTTATGTCATTAGCTGCAGTTTAACAAGCTGATTTTTACACTTTGTGATTGACGTGGGACTTGTATAAATAAGGTGTCAACTTTACCTATTGACTATCTAAAAATAGTTCCTTTCTCACAAATGAATGAATCCTTTTAATTAAAAAGGGAAAAAGTTTACTACATTAACAAAGAATGCAACCCAAGCAGACAGCAGAAAATCCACAAGGACATTTAATCATTTGAATCCTCAATTCATTCATCAGGAGTCATTAAAACTGTCTTTTACACCAACACATAAACCCAAAATAAGATGCTGTTCAACAAGCATCCAAAACCAATTACAAGTCCTGAATAATTAAACCCTGAAAGCAGCTGTTATTAGAGCTGATGTAATGACCACATTAGTCACCCAGGATCTGTCTCTACTGCTGAACCACTATAACGTATTTCTGTTTGACAGTCAAAGCAGAGAAATGACACCAGACTCAAAGGTCAGCAGTGAGCATCTTTAACCTGCTCATAAAGCTTTTCATGCCAGGTCTTCTCTCCTGAGGTCATATGTGAAGAAACGCAGGTAAAACAGTTCAAACGGCATTAAAACATGCAAAGACACCAGTTATTTGTCACTGACTGCTGGAAGTGATGATTAATGCTTCCTTTATTATAACCCCCCCCACACACACACACACACACACACACACAAAAACACACATGCTGGTTAATGCTTTGACATTAAAAACAACAGTAAACTGCTTTAAAAGCTGGGTTTTTTTTTTAATTCATCACTTTACCTTTTATATAACGGATGTTGTCATAGTTTCCTGGTCCATCTCAGGACATTAAATTGCTTCACATTAGAACTTATTTTTATGCATTTCAGTTCTTACAGCACAGATTGCACTTTAAAAGCCTAGAATGCTATCCTCTGCTTTTTTAATGCATCCATGAACTGTGCTCTCTGAGTGGCTTTTCACAAGTTTTCCTTTGGCTTCCTCAACAGAACCTGGTCTCAGTGCAGCACTGCCTGATTATTACCTAAAGACAAACCTTATGAAATATTTGAACAACAAAATTTATTAGAAATTTATCAGTTTATAACTATATAGACATATATACATTAGGTATATATAGACATTTATATACAGATACCAGGTTCTGTAGAGGAAGCCAAAGGAAAACTTATATTTTTTTTTTATTCCTTTATATAACA